TATATATATACACCTGTTCAATTCGAAAACCTCTTGAATATAAAATATAATAAGAAAAACAAACTTCAGTACTAAGAAAAAACTTACATAAAAAACTACAAAAATGATAATAAAAATGTTTGGAACACTTTTTGTTGTGCAATAGGAATTTCTTCATACGGCTTTTATAGAGCTTTCGACGGCGCATCTTTTGAAAACAAAATCGCGACGTTATCGTTTTCTTAAGCCGAGATATATGCAAAATAGAAATGTCTTCCAAACATTTTTATTATGTTAAATATGGTGAAAAGTAGAACTATCATGTATTTTCTTTTCATTTTGAGTATGGAAGAAACCATCAAAAGAAGTCAATGGGATCTTGTCCTTACAGTTTTTGTAGAGCTATTCATGGCGCATCTTTTGAAAGAAAAACTAAGATTTTATCATTTGTCTATGCAGAGATATTCGTAAAACAAGCTATGCTGCAAACATTTTGGAACATCCGATATTTAATATTTTGACTAGAGTACCATCATTTCTCAATGAAATTCAAAATATTTTTATGTCAAAATGATCAGCGAAAAAAGCTCTATAAAGTTTGATAAAATGAAAAGTTTTCTGAATACTTTGTGGTTGACTGTTCATGGAAGTATCCTATAACAACAATATCATTTTGTAGTTTTTTATGTGAGTTTTTTCTTAGTACCGAAGTTTGTTTTTCTTATTATATTTTATATTCAAGAGGTTTTCGAATTGAACAGGTATATATATATATATATATAGTACTTGATCTCTGCTATCCAAACATATAATTGAATTAAATTAATCTTGTGTAGTTTTAATACACGGCTCAAAACAAAAAGTGGGACCAGACTTTTGACCCCCACTGTATATCTAAAACAGTTTTAGGATCTAGTTATATATAGTTTTGTAGAGAATTTCAAGCGCTATCTTTTGATAAAAAAAAGCGATAATAGAGTAGAAATTTCGAAAATACTAACAGTATAATTATTTATGGGCCACCCGTTAGATAAAGAATATACCTAAAAACTAATTGTAGATGTTGAAAATTTTCAAAAATCTACTATCTATATTTGTATCACGATTGATATATTTAGCACCTATTTATGGAAATAACAATTGCGCGACATAGCCAATTAACTTACATCGTTACGTGTTAAAAGGACGATAATTTATGATCAAAGAAAATATTAGCAAAAGAGAATTAAAATTTTGAAATTGAGAAAATTTATGTTATGTGGATGCAATTATCTTATATTAGACTAAAATGTATTTTTAGATACGTAAATTCTCCAAAAAACTAAGCAAATTCGAAACATAACAATATCAAAAAATAGAACTAAACGTATTAGTTAAGATGTATATTGATCGAAATTTAGATAAAAATATGATTCTATTATTGATATATTTTCTAAATCTAATCATCGTCTAGATCTTTGGGTTTCATTGCTTGCATTTTAGTTGCTACAGAAAGTATTAAACTCTCATAAAATATAATTTTTAACTAGTAACATAGGAAGTTGAAACATTTAATTTTCTCTAACATATTTTCTGAATAATTCATTTCGACTTCATTTCACATTTTTTTTTTCTTTTTCGAAAACCTTTCGTAATTTTTTCATTAGCAAAAACATTTCTGCAATGAACAGCAAACATGTAAAGTAAAGCCAAGAAAAAAATAAAATTATCATTATCTTAAAAACTTATTTTTTATATCAACAAAATAGAAACCTGTGCATCGGAATGGAACAAATTTCTCTTAAAACAACAACCATCGACATATGCTCTTCTTAAAAATAAAAAAAAGTATTTTTTGGTATGTTCAAAAGAATTTTTATTTGCAATTGATTTGATTGAATAGTGAGATTGAAAGAAATGTAGAGTTTGGTATTTTATTACTGAAACAAAAGTATGGCCTTTTTATATGATGAAAGTAATTGAACATAATTTCACTTCTTAATCTCCCTAACTTTTGTACTGTAAAAAATTTCTGAAATATATATGTAATTATTGATCAGTATATCCAATAGATTTTTTATTTATCTATCGTCATACTAATGAATTACTTTTTTGAGGTGTAGATGCGAATCTTCTTTTCAATGACACTCATATTCACACCCTCCTATCAACAGCAGATAATATGTAATATTAAAAAAAAAAAAGATTTACATGTTTTCGCTGTTTCTAGTATTAACAAAGTTTCAATATAATCTAATGTTTTTCTTTTCAACAATGATTAATCATGACTACTCGCTTTCTTCTTATTATTCCTATATAATTGAAATCTTGAATCATATAATTATTAATCTTTATGAGAACAATAAAATAAATATTAAAAAAAAAATGATCAATCATGCTCTTTGGATGATGATCAGAGATATTAACTGAATAGTTTTATTTCAAATATATATACACTTTCAAATCACTTGAACAATGATTTATAGATATCTTTGGTTTTTTTTTTACAAATTTTAATCATGACAAAAAAAAAAAACACAACATCAATAATATAAAACATTTAAAAAGATGAATGTTACTGATTTGTTTCATCCATTTCATCAATATCATCTAATATAAGTTTCAATTCAGTTTTTTCAATAACTGAATCAACATCGCTAACGTGGTTTGCCAAACTTTGAGCATGAAATGCTAATATATGCATAGAACAAAGCCAAAGTGTTATATTAAGAAATCGGTTCACTGCATCATGTAGACCATATTTGTAGAGAAGATATTTCCATGTTAATTCTGCATATTTGTTTTGAATTTGTAAAATAGTAATAGAATTTGTATAATGGCTCGAGATATTTGAATAATAAGAACAACTATCTTCAGAGAAAGCAAACATTGAGATTGATAGTTTGGCCAATACAATATTTGGATCAATAAATTTTCTTGACCAAATATGAACATCCATTAAACTTTTTCCATACTTTGCGTTCATAGCATTCAAGAAGCCATCAAGATCATATAAATGATAGTATTGCATGATGAAAGTACCACCCATACAGGATACATAATCAGCAGCACTTCGAAGTATGACGGAACGATCATCACCTGATAATCTACGAAGATCATCATTAGAACAAAGGTATGTCCTAGTTGTTTCGTAAATAGATGCTAAAAATTCTTCTATAAGTACTGTGTAAGCCCTACAACTGAATTGTGAAGTATCATGTATATGAGTTAAACGTTCACTAAAGGGTAGAATCTGAGATTCATTATAAGAATTACATAAATTTGAAAGAAGTGTCCATTGATTAGTAGTTAATAATGATTGATCTGATCGTAAAAGATTTAATGTTGGAAGCTAATAAATAAATAATGTACTAGATGCAACCGGGTTAAAACCCAGTTTGCGAAATGCAGTGCGAAGTATGACTTCCAGTTTCAGGAAAAACACGAAAACTTCTTCTTCAAATCCATTCCGAATCGCAGTTCCTCTGAAGATGTTCACATTTCGCTGAAACAATACATTTTTACGTCATTTCTGTATCAAAAAAGCCCCATTCACATTTTTCTGTTCAGTAGTGTAAGGAAATTTCAGCAAAACGTTTTTTTTTTTTTTTCTATCATGGTTGAATAGAACTCGTTGAGGTCAATATCGAAATGCTATTTTTGACATGTTCAGACGATGTTTTTGTACTGAAATTTAGGAAAAATAAGTTTGCAAAAAAATCAGAAAAATCGAAATACACCAGATGCATCAAGTCTGAATAGGTTCAATATTTATTTTATTCAAATAGTTAGGAAAAAAGTATGCATGATTTTTGAAAAATATTATTTCATTGTTGAGAAAAAAACGAGTTTCTCGACACTGCAGCAAAAGAAAAGTCTATGCAAGAATTTTTATCCTTACACTTCCTCACTATTATTTCCGAATAATTTGAGCGTATCGTCCCTATAAGATCGAAAACTAACATTGAATATTTAGTACTCTATCCAATGTGCACTCTGTTTTTCATGCCTCTTCTCCCTATAATATCGAAAAAGTCGAGTTTCTCAACAATGAAACAATATTTTTCAAAAAAACATGCATAGTTTTTTCCTAACTATTTGAATAAAATAAAAGTTCTAATTAATATTGAAACTATTCAAACGTGATGTATTTGACGCATTACGATTTTTATAGGATTTTCCGATTTTTTTTCATACATAATTTTCCTAAGTTTTACTGCGAAAATATCATCTGAGTATGTTAAAAACAGTATTTGTATATATAAATTGACGGTTTCTATTCAATTATGATAAAAACAAAAAAAAAGGTGTTTTGTAATTTCGAATATCGACACCTTAAAATATTCATATCTTGACTTATCTTTCAACAAATAAAGGAGGTCGTCCTAACTCCTTACATAGTGTTTTTGGTAGATATATGCTGGTAATAAGTAAGCAAAAAAGATCATTGAAATATATATCTATAGTGTTGGTCGTCCTCATGATAGTATAGACGATTCAGTTATTTTATCGTTCAATTCAGTTTTATATTGTTTTCTCGATAGCAACCTTCCCTAAAGTTTCGAATATAATATTACGTGAAGACAAAAATACTACTTAATTTAATCTTTCTATATTTTAGGCAGAAGCATCACTCTTAAGCTATTCTGGATGTATTAGTATTTTCAAAATTTTTATATAAAATTCATGTGACTATATTAAAAACAACTTCACTGTAGTTATGAGTAACAATTTAATCTTCTATGCTCTAATCAGATATCAAGATATATAATAACATGAGAGTATTTCAAAAGTTTTTAGCAATATAAAACTGAAAATCTGAAAAAATTACTTAAATTGATAAGATTTGAAGTAGTTTAGTCGAAGGCCGATTGTATATGATAAATAAATATAACAAATTCTTGATATATTTCTTAATGATCAAAGTGGTATTGAAGAAATGAATATAGTCAATCCGATTTAATAATCTTACCATCTTTGCTTGTTTTTCCTCTTGTACCTTAACTAAACATCTTCTTTTTGGCTCACTTTGTCTTGATGCACGAAATTTTTCAATATCCATTCCACATTTAAAACATTTAGTAAGTCGACATGATGAACATACATGACGAGTATTTATATTTATTTCACATTGACCACCAAAATTACATACAAATGCTGTCTAAAATGAATTAATATGAGAATTAAATGAGACGAAAAGATTAATCTTACCTGTCCAGATTCAGCATTTCGTTTAAAGAACATTTTACATGCATTACATGAAATAACACCAAAATAATTATACTCAGCAGGAACACCACATATTTCACATACACCTTGAAATATTTTCGATTTTTTAATTGTACTCGACATAGATAAATTTATTTTATTGTTCGATGTCAAATTTCTAAATAAAATTTATTTTATATTAAAACTTAACTACTTTGAGAATAAATAAGAATGAATAAAGAAGAAAAACAAATGTGTGTGCATATATGTATATATGTAGAAAGAAAAGGTTACTCAGGTCATAGCGCTGGTTATTCTCTTCGTGTAGAACGACAATATTTATCTTTCTCTAGGCATATAAATCCTTGTATTTCTCGACACATTTGCGTCGTTCTTTACAGAAAAAAGAAAAAAAATCTTTTTTTTTTTTTTCATTCTCTTTTCAGTTCTCCTCCCTCTCCGTGCTTCATCTATATAAAGGTTTATTACACTACCATAGACAAAATTAACGTAACACGTATTTTTTATAGATATTTTCATTTTAACGATCGACCATGAAAAATATAAGTTTTTTAGAATTTTTTTTTCGTCTATATAGATCTCGTTTCGCTGATCATTTTGGTAAAAAACAAAATATTCAAATTTACTCGATAAATAACAAACCTTGGCTTAGAATACTCAAAAATATCATCTACTACTCAGCAATGATCACAAATAGTCCTAAGTTTTGAATATTTTGACTCTAATGCCATTATTTATTGAGTAAATTTAAATATTCTTTTTACTAAAATGATCAGTGAAACGAGTTCTACAAAATTCTATAGACGAAAAAAAATTTTCGTGGTTGACCATCAATGAAAATATATATCTACCATCAGAATCATAATTTTTATTAAGGATAATAGAAATATTTTAAAGAAGACATAATCAAGAAAAATAATCGTGATGTTTTTAGCATTTTTTAAATTTCTCGCTTATCTCTACTTTTTAGATTTATTCAAATAAAAGGCTGAATAGAGACACATGAATGAATAATAATATGTGTTTACTTATATAACATTCATTTTGTTTTCTCAGAAAAGATTAAAATATGATTTTGACGGTTATTGTAAAAAAAAAATATAAATAATCGTTATGTATATTCTCATCGTCGATTTTTCAAATGTTTTTGTTCCAAACAGAATGACTCGATCATCTAGGCTAAAGAAAGAGCGTAAAATAAAAATAAAAAAAAAAGAAAAGTTGACAGTCCTAGTATTAAGCACGTCAATAACTTTAGTCAGATTATATGAATCTGAATAGATGAGTTCATTTTATTACCATATTAAGTGCATAATAACTGTTAGTATGAGTAAAGCTTTAAAAATAGATTAATTATTTTCTTTAACTATTTATGAACTTTTACAGGACAAAATCTGACATTTATTTATACCGGTGTGGATGCTGTCGTCGATATTTTCTGCAACTACACACACTCATCTCAGGTATCTTAAATTCAATCGTCTTTAATAACAATCTCACAATAGACTTTGGTTTCGTGATTATGTCTGTCATGATCTCTGAAGGAAAACTTCAAACACTCCTTTTATATTGTGTTTTCACAAAAGCTTTGTAATTCAGCACAAAGACTTTACTTGTTACATATTCAAAAAATCCAACATTCGTTTACTATAGTCAAATTTTCGTTTAGGAAAATTGACTCAATGGGAGTATCATTAAATTGGCCGTCAAATCATACGAAGATTTGTTAATCTTCATTCTCGATCTCGACATCGTACAAAATTAAATTTTAGTTTGTGAAATAGAATAAATATTTCTCTATCGATTAATTAAAAAATAATTCGTTGATGTTCAGTAAGAAACGTCACAAGAACATCAAGATCATTTTTTATTGAATTTTTATCTAACTTTTAACGTGCCATGTGCATGTAAAATGATAATGAGTCTTAGAAAAAACCTCAATTACTAATTATAAATGACCTTGATTCCACATAATAAAACATAACATTCAATTTCTCTTAGCATGACTCATCGACTAATATTCTTTTTTTCAAAATAAAATGAATTTATTTATCTATTTTGCTATTTCTTCGATGCAAAAATATGAAGAAAAAAAAAATACACAATTGTGTTCCGTACCGTGTCGCAACATGTGTTTTGATTTCCTATTTAAGCTCATCAACGTATTTATTTTCTTTATTCTATCGTTATATTAAAAAATATATAGAAATAGGAACAGATAATTTTATATATATATATATTATAACTTACCAATAGAACAAACAAAATAAAAAGCATTGATCCGTATAAATAGAAAAAAAAACATGTTGCGGCAAGGTAAGGAATACAAATGCATCTTTTTTTTTTTCATTTCATATTTTTTCTATTGAACAAATAAAAAAATAGATGAATAGATTCTAATTGTGCTTTGAAAAAAGTCAGTCGATATAATACATCATGACGAATCAAATAGTACGTTTTTTTTATTTGGAATAGAGGTCCTTAGAAACAAGTAATTGACATTTTTTCTAACGCTCATTACCATTTTACATGCCGACGACAAAAATAGAAAAAAATATGCAGACCGACAGCTTTAAAAATTAAAGGAAAATTCAATAATAAAAAATGACTTCGATGCTGGTGTGAAGCTTCTTAATAAACATCAACTAATTATTTTCCAATATATCGAAAGAGAAGTGTTTACTCTACTTGAGAAACTAAAATTTAGTTTTGTACAATATCGGAAATTTGAGTTATTCAAGGCTTACGAAAGATGTATTTTTTTTCAATAGAATTCGGTCTACTGATTCTAATTTAGATAGTAGGAATAATAAAATTGTGAGAGAATTGATGATCACTTTTCAATTTCCCAAGAAATGATCTCAGTTCTAATAATAGTTCTCAACATTACCTAAAACCAGTGGAAGACATTTGGTTATAATCAATTCAATTAGTTGATATAAAAGAGTAATATACTTAGTTGAGCACATGATGATTTTTCAAGACATTTTAGTACAGAAACATCTATGAATATGTCGCATTATAACTAGAGCTCGTTTTTAGCTTACTGTTAACTGTATGTTGAAAGAATGGTTTTAAGCAGATATACCAACAATGAAATCCAGTGTGTAGGTGGGGGTGTGAGTGTAGGTGTGGATATCGTGTTACTCACACCCACACCCTGTCGGTGAGTGGGGATGAAGAAAAGACTTACACGCACACACCCCCACACCAAGTTTAGTTTCATTCTAATTACCTTAATTTTGTGGAACTTACATATATTTTTGGAGAAAATACTGAGTGTAAGTTCTAAGTAGAGCTGCAGAATCTGCCGTAAAAATGAAAAATTTTCCCAAACGAGGAAATCTTTCACAGAATTTTTCCGAGTCTAATATTTTGCAAAAACTTCATTTAGATCTATAATTTTTCAAAAAGTCTGCTTCATATACAATAGTTTCCCAAAAATTTCCCCAAACGCGCGTTCCCGCACACGGGTAGATTCTGCACCACTGGTTCTAAGTCCAAGTTTTCCGATTCCCTCTCACTTCATTATACGCCATAGCAGCCCTCCTTCCTGAAAAAAGAAAAAGTTTTTGTCGGAGACTCAAAAATAAATATTAGAGATCCAGATTGCGATGAGCGATTGTTTTGAAAAACAATTGTAGTATACGAGAGATTTTTCACTTTACGTATTTTGTATTAGTTTAAGGAAGCTAAAGAAATAGAAGCTGCACTATCAAGATTTTTATATGTGCTTCTGATTTCTATTGCTCATCCTTTTGATTAGTACTACACTCTAATAAATAGAATTATCTTCAATAGAAAATAAATACTACATTTATTTTTCCTATTTTCTGTCATCTTTATTGATGAATTCGGTGATGAATATTCTTTTTCTTTGAAAATGTGAGCATTAACTATCTTTAGTAGCAGAATGAAGAAAAAAACCAATAATACTGTCAGTCTATTTACGCTCGAATTCAGCCTTCAACGTTTGATGATTATTTTGTTTTGGTTAATACTCGAATGTATTAGGTATGAATTGCTGAATGAAAATTACTTGGTTTTTTTAACTAACACTTTTTCTTAAGTGTTAATTTATTTCATGGCGTTGCTCACCTGTGCTGTTTGTTTTCAACCCTCTTCTATACTATGGATTCCGCATGGTGACCAACGGTACGTTTCTACTATAGAATCAAATCACATAAGAAACCGGAGGAAAGAATGGTATAAAAAGTAACAACATTCATCATGATTAATATTATAAAAATTCATCAAAATTCTTCGTATTTTTTGTGGAACTCACACATATTTTCGAAGAAAATAGTGAGTGTAAGTTTTGAATCGAAGTTTTTCAGAGGTGTTGATGTGGGACATATATGTAGGTGTGGTTGGAATTTCTTTTCAGGCTCTCTATTTTCAAATTCATTCGTTTGTGACAAATCGCCATTTTTTTTGCATGATATTTCATTTAATAAAATAAATTACCGTTAAAACAAACTGTCCGAATATTGAACTGAAGAATCCAATTAATATTACAAAGTGTTGGTTTTCCGACTTGATGATAAATAATTAAATGAATAATGTAATGATACCTAATGGATTAACTTGACTAGCAACTTCACAGATTTTTGATTTTTTTCATCTTCAAATCTAAAATAAAAACAACACAACTACACAATAAGTAAAATGACCAAGGCGGACGAAGTAAAAATAGATTATAACAATGTTATATCAGTCACAATTCTATAGATAGTTCACAAGTTTATTAAATTACTTGTTCTATCTTTCGTTCTATATCAAGAAAAAAAAGTTAGGTGAAAGAAAGATAGTCGATAATGCCAGAGTCACATTATTCTCTCGAAAATATACTGATCAAAGCTAAGAACATGATCTATTTTCTTTAAAATCGTACAGAAAAAAACACAGAACGAGTGATTTTATAGCTTTGTGAACTTTCTAGAGAATTGTGATCACTATAACGCTTTTATAACTCATTATTATATCATCTCATATTAAAAAAGAAAAAATCTACAATTTGGTCAAGCAGTTCGATAAGTATCATCTATTGTTGAATCATGAATATGAACTTGTTCAACAAAATCTGCTTGAGATGCATTCTCATCATGTTCGTCTTCATCTTA